CCTTTGTTCTGTCGCTGAGTTCCCAGAGGGCAGCTCTTAGGAACCAGAACATTTGGGTTAATTGGGTCAGGGGTTAATAATCTTAGTACTCATCAATCCCAGTGTGTCTCTTGTAGCACCAGTCTTAACTTCATCTTTCTGGGCTGTTTTAAAAGCAATCAACTTGTTTGCTGTAAGCAAAACCAGCTTTTCTCACCTTTTCTCTTGCACTTTCTCTATTCAGTTGTTCAATTATTTAAGCAGACATCCTTTGAGCACCTGCCTATGCATAAATGTAGCCCTAGTCCAGAGGAGCTGCCCAGAGAGCAGAAGAGATGAGAAGGAATACAGAGCCCAGACAGAGTGGCCAAATCTGGGCTTTTCTAGAGACCTGTTCCCTGTGCTCAGGGAACAAGGGGCTGGGAGTACTAGGGTGCTGGCTAAGTGGGGTACTTCAAGTAGGTTTGAGGAATCCATTTCTGACTATCCACTGTCCATGTAAGAAGCAGCCTCAAGTAGCAAGAGATGTGCCATACAACTAAGTAATAAAGTACAGAACAATATCGGGGGAGATGCTCACTGAGCACAAATAGTCCTTTGTCTCATGTCCTCAGGTTTCCAGTTATTTAGGCAAGAAAATGCACCCTAAGGTGGCTTTGGAAGTAGGAGAATGCCAGACATTTACACCCCTGTGGAACTGAACGTGGGCCTGTGCATTGAGCCAGTGCACTAGCCCTGTCTTGGGACCCCTTTGTGGTGCAGACCAGAATATGGGTGTTTGTCCCCTCTGCATCCTGTACTTCCTCTGCAATATGCTTACTGCACTTTATTATTGATTGTTAAACTCCAAAAGAGCAGGAATCACTTGTATATCATGTATGGCTTCTTCTCATTACCAAGCATGTGCCTGATATATGGACATAGAAAGATATTTCTACACGGGACAAAATACCTGACCAATGCTCCTCCAAACCTTCAAGGTCATCAAAAACAAAACTTGTGAAACTGCCACAGCCAAGAGAAGTCTGAGACATGATGACTAAATGTGAAGTGGTATTCTGCATGAGATCCTGGGACAGAGAAAGAACATGAGCTAAAGTAAGGAAGTCTGAACAAAGGATGGACTTTGGTTCATAGTGAGGTATCAATAGGGTTCATTAATTGTGGCAAGCATGTCCTGCTAATCTAAGATGCTAATAGTAAAGGAAACTGGGTGTGGAATATATGAGGACTCTCTGTATTCTATCAGCAATTTTTCTGTAAATCTAAAACTCTTCTGCAGTAAAAGGTTTATTAACAAAACCTCGAATGATCCTCAAGCACCTTTGTGCCCTCCTGCTTCCCAGTTGGTGGCTCATGATGGATCTTACTCTCCACTTGCCCTGTGTATTCTCAATAAGAGACTCCCTCTCCTTTCTAAGCCTAGAGTCACAGAACACGCTTTTGCCTGGCAGTGAGAAACCTGAGATCTAGTCCCACTTCTGCCACCATCCCACTGTATGACCATGTGTCAATCATTTCCCCCTCCCAACCATGGGCCTCAGTTTACCCCTCTGTTCAATGAGAAAGTAAGACTAGAAGGTGCTTCTAGTTGGTCCATGAAGGCATGGATGGTGTGTCTCGTTCACGGCAGCATCTCCAGCTCCTAAGACAGTCCCAGGCACAAAGCAGACACTGAAAAAAAAAAAAAAAAAAAGATTCAGTGAATAAATAAATGAGCACTGCACTGATACTCCAACACTCTAACTAGAAATGGAAACTTCTAGAGTGAGCTCAGCATCTGAGAACCTCCTTTCTTATGCACTTGATTTCAAGCTCCCTGGGTCACATCTTTGTGTCTGTCTCCAACGCTGTGCATGGAGACTTTATAAGTATTTGCGCAATGATTGAGAAGAGCTGGACCTGCCAGATCAGGCCCTGCAAGTGTTGAACTCCTTGGAATGCAGACAGGGTGTCTGTTGAGATGGTAGGAAGGTGTGTCACGTCTAAAGCTTATTGCGCTGGGGGTCATCCCGGCTTCTGAAGTTGGGGAGGATCTTCCCACGGAATCCATCTGCCCCTTTTTAACAAACTCAGAGTGAAAGGGCCTGGGCCTCCCAGCCCCTGGTTAGGAGATCCTGGCAGATAACTTAGAGGAAGATAGCTCAAACCCAGGAAGGGAAGAAACTGGAAGTGACAAAAAAAAAAAAAAAAAGAAAGCCCTGCACACCCCCCAATCAATTGTCTAGAGACCTGCATTCCTGGATTTTAGTCCCAGCCCCCAGTATTCTCGGCATCCATGCCATGAGAACTGGGCAAGATTTTCTCTGTGCTTCTAACTGGCCAACCTCCCAGAGTTGGGGTGGGGGTGAGTAAAAACAAGGATGAGTGTTCTTTCCGGTTCCTCACAGGGGCTGTGTTCTCCGTGGGCAATTCCTCTGCCCAGAACATTTTCTCCACTAACTGCTCACACTCCACGCTTCAGAGCAGGCTCCAGGCAGGCACCGTGGCTGTAAAGTCTCCCCTGACACCCTGCCTGATTCATTCCATTGTCCCTATGACAGGCCCTAGAACACTTCACACATTCCCTTAGAACTCAACATCCTGGGCTGTAATCGCCCAGTTCACTGTCTGCCTCCACCAGCCGACTGCGAGCCCGCTGGAGGCCGCTCACCGTTTGGTCCTGCATCCAGCATAGTGCTTGGCACGTACGTGATAAATAAGGACTTGCGGAACAAACACATGAATGAATGGGTGAATAAATGAAGGCATGTGTGAATTAGTAAGTGAATTACTAAGTGCTTTACTAACCAGTGAATTAGTAAGTGCTGTCACAGCCAAGGGAAGGCTAAAACCGTATCATGTTTTGGATAGCTTACCTCAGATTTCCCAGGAGACTTGCTGAGGTTTTTTACAGCATCTGTAAAAATAATAATAATAGTAGCTCCAATAGCCTGTTGTTACCGTTGTAAATTCCCAAAGGGTTTTCCCAGGTGTGTTTCAGAAGAGGAAGAGCAGGCACTGATTCCCTGCCCTCAGTCTCCCTCCCTGCCTCCCCGTTTCTTCTTCCCACCTATGTCCTCACCTCTCTGTCTCTCTCTGTCTCTATTTCTCTCTCCTCATTCTTCCTCTCTTTCACGGTCTCTGTCTCTGTCTTTGTCTGTGTTTCTTTCTCTCCTCATTGTCCCTGTCTCTCTCCTCTCTCTCTCTCTTTCACTCTCTCCACCTGTTTCTCTCTCTTCCCTCTCTCTCAATCTCCCTCTCTCCTTTCTCTTCTCTCCCCCTTCCTCTTTCTGTCTCTTTTTCTTTCACTGTTTCTGCCTCTTTCTCCTTCCCCTCTCTTTCTCCCTCTCCCTTCTCCTTCTCTCCCTCCGTCTCTGTCTCTTACACTATCTTTGCTTCTGTTTGTCTCTCCTCTCTCCCTCCCTCCGCCTCTATCTCTATCTCTTTCACTATCTCTGCCTATGTTTCTCTCTCTTCTCACTCTCTCTGTCTTTCTCCATGTCTCTCCTCTCTCTCCCTCCCTTGTCTCTATCTTTCTCCTTCACTGTCTACCTGATTCACTCTCTCTCCCCTCTCTCTGTCTTTTCTCTCTCCCGATTCCTCTATCCCTGCTTCTATATCTCTCTTTCACTGTCTCCGCCTCTGTTTCTCTCTCCCCACACTTTGTTTCTCTCTCTCTCTCTCCCCTTGTCTCTATCTTTCTCTTCATTATCTCGCCTCTCTCTCTTCTTTCTCCCTCTCCCTTCTCCTCCCCCGCCCGTCTGTCTTTTGGGTACTCTCCATCATTTCCCTCCCCATCCCCATTCCCTCTCCACTGTGTGCCATGCATCTCACAGAGAAGATTTCACTTTCCCAGACACCCGGTGCTGCCTCATTTGTACTTTGGGAGAAACATCCCCTTACCATGGTCGAGAATGTGGACTTTGGGCTTGGGAGCCAGACAGATTCAGCTGGTTCCAAGCCCCGTTCTTCCACCTACTAGTCTGTGACCTTAGTCAAGAGGTCTAACTAACCTCTCCGAGCCTCAGCTTCGTTATGAGCAAAATGAGGTGAAAATGCCCCCTCTCAAAGGACGGCTGCAAGGATTAAATGAGATGATGCTTGGGAAATGCTTAGCACAGTGACAAAACTCCATAAATGCGAGCTCTCTTGTTACTATCAGTTCTACTATGGTGATTTTTTTCTTGCATTGTCTGCAAACATTATTAATACCCAGGAGATCATTGTTGAAGATGACAAACACCTCCGGACTGAATAGCCCCACCACCACGCCAATCCCAGGATCATTGCAGCCCCTTCCTCCCTCCCCCAAATAGATGACCACCAAAGCCCAGTTGGCTCTGGTTCTGACCCTCTGGTCTTCTATGCCCACTTTAATTTGGGCAGAATCTATCTGGATAGAGATTCCCTAAGCCTGGCTGTCCCAAAAAATTATCTGAAGAGTTTTTAGTAATTGTAAATATCTGGGGTGAGTCAAGGAGAGTCTCACTCCATAGGTCTGGGGTGACACCCAGGAATTGGGTATTTTCAAAAGCATCCAGAGCAATTCTGATTGGAGAACAGGCATTCAAGCTTCTGGTCTAAACTCAGCGGCTACTCAAGTGATACTAAGTGAGTCAATCAATAGGAGATTGTAAATGAATAAAGGCATAAATGAGTAGATGGATGGGTGCACGGATGGATGGATGGGTGGATGGATGGATGGATGGATAGATAGATGAATAATAGGTCTACCTCCATGGCCAGAAATGCTAGTATTTTTCCCCAGACCTATGCTCTGGCCTCCAAAATGTGCGTCCTTTTGTTCTGTGGCTTTTCAGAGCACAACACTTAGCTGCTACCCTGTTCCTTTTCTTCCTTTTCTTCTCTGCACCTAAATCCCATCCTTTCCCTTTCCTGGTGCCTATTTCCTCCATCCTCTCTCCCTCCTCACTTCGCCCCCTCCTTTTAGCTCCCACTTCTCTTGACGGCTTCCCCCTCACCATGCTGAAACATTTGCAAGCTGGAGGTTATCCCAAGACACTTTCATGAGAAGAGGCTTTGGACACAGCAGTTGCACAGACAGTTTTATTTGATGAACCACAGTGACTAACAGGGTCAGAAGACAGCGCAGACATTCTGAAGAAGGCACTGGGGGAGGTCAGGGGTTATCACAGCAGCCAGCCTCCTTTGCTTCTGTCCCAGATCACAGATGAGTCCCAGGCAGGAAGTCTCTGCAGGTCACCCACGGGGGCCTCAGAGGGACAACTTCTTCCCTTCTAGAAGCCTCTTCCAGTGTTCACTGGATGCTCTGAGGGCAGCTCTGGGCAGAGGAGGTGACTCTGTGGAAGATGCTGTCTTAAGATGGGGAGACTAGGCTGTAAGGAGCCCTTCCCCTCTCCTCCTCACTCTGCCCCCAGAGCTGGCGCCATTCCAGGGAGGGTCAAGATGTCCATTCATATCAAGCTGGGCTTTTCTTATCTCCATCGCTCATGTCTTGTCTTTCACTTTTACAGTCCTCCAAGAACAAAACCCGGAATAGACACTCCCCGCCTCTAGCTCACAAAGGCCCCACTGTTAATCTCATCCTCACGGTCTCTCTGGCAGTGTAGACATCATGCCATCCGCCCCATCACAGTCTCTATTCCCAGATCCCCAATCCAGTAGAAGCCAAGAGGTCCAATCCTGAGCGTAGGAAGAGAAAAAACCCACCCAGTGCCTTTTGGCCCATGGCAAGCAGACCTCCTTAGGAAGAGGACCACTGACCCTGGAACAAGAAAGGATGATGAGGGCAATGCTCATAAACTTGAAGCCAGGTGGGGAGGCACCAGAAAGGAGCCAAGGGAAGCTCTCAACCAGCCTCTTACTTCCTTCATGGAGCCCAAGAAGGAGCGGGAACCCAGCTCAGTAGGACACCCCCAAGCCTTGGCGCCAGCTGCTTTGGGGAGGAACCTCCCTACAGGAAGCCTGGTGCAAACATTAACTTCTCTCCTAAAGCACGGACCAGCCGTTGGAGCCCCCATATCCAGTGGGGGGATGGATTCATTTTTATTCTACATTCTTCATTGCCTCAGTGTGTCCCTGTCCCCCACCACCCCCTGCCAAGGGTAACGTGTGAACAGCAGAGATGCAGTGGAGTAGGGGGTGGGAGGGGGTTCATCCAAATGATCCAGGCACACTGCTGTTCATGCCAGGCTTGTCCATATAGACATGTAAGTACAACACACAGAGGCGAGGCAGGCATCTCCATCCCAAACAACATGACTCTTGGCACCAAGTAGTACTAGTGCCCAAGAAAGAAATCAGTGTGATGGGGTAAGATGGGGAGACGAGGAAAACCTTCAGCTCACAGTTCTGCAGGAAGTCAGAGACAGAAGGACTTGGGGAGCGAGCCAAGCAGTGTCTGGACTAAATGCAGACACCCCTCCATCCTCTCTCTCTAGTTTCCCTTCCCAACTCCCCACTCACATAATGAAACCAAGGAGTACATCCATTCATCAGCCCTGCTGCCTTCCAATTCCCATAGAAAATAGAGGAAGGATGAAAGGGTCTGCAGACAATTTGGAGAAAGCATATCTAGTCAGTGATGTGGTGCCATGGGGGAACTGTAGGAATCACCCTAGCCCCAGTGCCCAAAATGACAAGGAAGTGATCCAATTTTAGGGCAAGCTCTGGAGCTCCCATATCTAAGGGCTGGAGTGCTAATTACCTGCTGACACACAGCCCACCCCCACCCCAGCCCATTCCCTGCCTCACACTCAGAAAACAGGATAGAGAGCTTACACAGGGTCAGTCTCTGCAAGCTTTGGGATCCTTAACCCTTAGTAGCCCTTCAGAACAAGAACGTAGACAGGGGAGAAGGAGGGATGGACGGAGGGGGGATGAGCTATAGGAGGGGATTGGTGCCAGAAGGCAGGGATGAGGAGCGACAGCTGCAGAGAGTGTTGGCGGGAAAAACTACAAGGAAAGGAGGGAGAAAAGATGGTTGCAGATCTAAGAAAGCAGCGGAGGGAAACAAGCTTTTATTGAGTCCAGACTAAGGCTTCAACATTTTAAGATCAATATGGCTTTCCCCCATTTCATACCAATGGAGAAACTGAGGCTGAGTGAGATTAAACAGCTTGTGCAAGGTCAGGTCCGTAGTGCCCAGTCTCTTTCCCCTAAACCACAAACCTCTGAGAAGGAATAAAGCAGTAGAGGAGGACAGGGCGGGGCAGGAGTCAGGGGGCAGTTAAAGGATGTGCATAGGAGAAGGAGTAGCCACACTACCTGATTTTCAGAAAGCAAGGGCAAAGGCTGGGGAGGGCCGAGGGCACCAGGCTTCTCTCCGCTCCCAGCCCTAGTCAACCACAAGGGTCTCCTGGCTGTAGGGGATGGATTTCTCGTGCATCTGTTCTCCACCCTTGCCCATGTTGGGGCCAGGCCCCTGGCTGTGCCCCGAAGAGTAGCTGGCTGACTTCTCCCCACTGCTGCTGTGGGAGGTGCCCGCACATCTGCTCTGGCCACAGCAGAGCATGGAGGTGCAGGCCTGGCGGAAGCGGGGATCGAAGAAGGCATAGAGGAAAGGGTTGAGGCAGCTGTTGACGTAGCTGATGCAGGTGCAGTAGGGGAAGACGTTCATGAGGAAGAGGTCAAAGTCACAGGGCCAGTGCAGCAGGCTGCCCAGCATGTACAGCGTCTTCACCAGGTGGTAGGGCATCCAGCACAGGGCAAAGGTCACCACCAGCACCACGATGATGCTGAGCAGCCGGCGCCGCTTCCGCAGGCCCTCGATGCGCTCCTTGCGGAAGTGGCCAGCGATGGTTTGGGCGATGAAGAAGTAACAGGTCAGCATGATGGTGAAGGGTACCACGAAGCCCACAGTGGTGGACGAGACCCCCAGGCCCACCTCCCAGGCCCAATCCGAGCTCACAGTGGCCACCATGGAGTAGTCCATGTAGCACTGCACCTTGGTGGTGTTCTCCAGGTCCCCGGTGGTGCGGAACACCATGACGGGCATGGCCAGGAGGGCGGCCAGCACCCACAGGACGGCCGTGGCCACGGCCCCGCTGACCCGCAGCCTCAGCCGAGCGTTGGCCACTGGCCTCACGATGGCCAGGTAGCGGTCGAAGCTGAGGCCGGTGAGGCAGAAGACGCTGGCGTACATGTTGACAAAGATGAGGTAGCTGCTGAGCTTGCAGGAGAAGGTCCCAAAGGGCCAGTCATAGTCCCGGTACGTGTAGGTAGCCCACAGGGGCAGCGTCACCACGAAGGTCAGGTCAGCTACTGCCAGGCTAGCGATGAAGATATCAGCTGAGCGCCTCTTCTCCCGGCTGCTCCGAAACACGGTCCAGAGCACCAGACCGTTGCCCGTGGTGCCCAGGAGAAAGACCAACATGTAGATGGCAGGGATGAGGGCCCCCGAAGATTTCCAGTCTGTGTACTCACACTCAGACTGGTTGTCTGCCCCATAGTAGTTGTCAAAATCACCACCTTCCTCCATGCTGGGGAGTGGAGAGAAGACGGGCAGGGGGTCCCAGGGACACCAGTTCCGTGGCTCTGTCACCCACTCTGCAAGCAGCCTGAATTTCTGGCTTGAGCCTCAGAGGGTAAGAAGGGCTGAAGATGGCCAGAGTCCTTCCCAGCACTCAGGAGGAGCTGCCTCTGGGTTCTGCAGACCCTGGAGGAAGCCTGTCTCCTGCAGAATTTCCTCCACCCTCTCCTGCCTTGCCCCTGTCTCAGTTAAGACACTTCCTTGCACCCTCCTGCGTCCCTGTCTCCTCCTTGACTCGTCATTCCCTCCTCCCACCTCCAGACCAGCCCCTCTCTTGTGAGTCAAAATCTTTAAGTGACAGCCCACTTTTTTTTTTTTTTTTTTTTTTTTTTGTCACTGAGCAAGTGGACCAAATTGACCCCTACTGTGCTGGGCTGAACATTATCTGTGGTTTTGCAAGTCTGCTCTCCTGGCCCCGCCTCCCCCTTCTGGTTGCCACCCACCTTCACCCCAGCCTCCATCCCTCCACTTTCCTCTGGCCACCACTTCCTGCCTGCCCTTCAGGGCACTCCCTCCTCAGTGCTCTCCGCCCTCCTGTTCTCACCCCCTCCCATCCTATCTAAATAGGACACATTATGCAGATTGCAATCCAGCCTGAGCTGGAGCCAGGGCTGGTAGGGAGCAAAGAGGGTGTAAGATTTCGCAGGATCGTCAGGGCATCTGGCAGGCCCTCCTGGCAGGCAGGTCTGGCCCCCTGGTTCCCTTCCTGCACCCCCAGCTCCCACCCAGACCAGGTGTCACAGGAGGGTCTTCTCCTACTTTGCCTCTGGCTTCATCTTTCGCTACCCCTTGGCTTTGACCCTCCCTTGAGAACTTCTGTGGTTTCTAGAGAAATCCCCCTACACTAGTGTAGACTGCAGTTTGCAGTTTGCAGATGGCACAGGATGCTTTTGAAGGTTGAAGGTAGTCACAGGATGGAAGAAATCCAGGACAAAATTATCTCTAAACAAGTCATTAAATCTGTAGGAAACAAAGTCCCAACAAGGTCAATGTTTTGCCCAAGGAAATAAAGTGAATTCTGCTACAGTTGATTGTTTGCTTTTCTTCTTCTCCAAGCACGAACATAACACAGTACCTGGCATGTGGTAGGTGAAAGGCTGTTTGTTTGCTTGTTTGTTTGTTTGTTTGTTTGTTTGTTGAGACAGAGTTTCACTCTTATTGCCCAGGCTGGAGTGCAATGCTGCAATCTCAGCTCACTGCAACCTCCGCCTCCCGGGTTCAAGCGATTCTCCCGCCTCAGCCTCCCCAGTAACTGGGATTACAGGCTAATTTTTTTTGTTTTTTTAGTAGAGACAGGGTTTCACCATATTGGCCAGGCTAGTCTCAAACTCCTGACCTCAGATGACCCACCCACCTCGGCCTCCCAAAGTGCTGGAATTACAGGCATGAGCCACCTTGCCCTGCCGGCCCGGCCCGGTGAATGGCTGATGAGTGAGTAAGTGGATGGATGACGTAACGTGTGAGGGAAAAGGGGAATCCATAGGTGGAAGAAGGAGTGTATTAATTACTACGTGGCGAGAACTTGGATACATTTCAGTTCTCAGGTTTTTACTATCCTCCGTGGACCAAGAGGTTTGTATAAGACCACAGGGGGTCAGGAAGTTGAGCTAGAGGAGGGGGGTCTCTAGAAAGAGACGCAGTCACTGGAGGATGCTGTGGGGAAAGTTCTGTGAAGCTCACTTTGCCCCATCTCATCACCTCTCCAGGACCTCTAGGAAGGAAGGAAGGAAGGAAGGAAGGAAGGAAGGAAGGGAGGGAGGGAGGGAGGGAGGGAGGGAGGGAGGAAGGAAGATGCACGACGTAAGATTTTTTAAAAATATGCACCCTTTCCACCACCTAAAGTTGGGTAATAGTGAGATGGAACAAAAGCAGGAGCTGAGCCTTAACCACATCCAAAGCAAAAGACTTACAAAAGCTGGAATTGGCCAGGCAAGGTGGCTCATGCCTATAATCCCAGCACTTTGGGAGGCCAAGGCAGGAAGATCGCTTGAGCCCAGGAGTTCAAGACTAGCGTGAACAACATAGCCAAGACCCTGTCTCACGATATATATTTTTCTTAAGTTACTACGAAAGCTGGAATCCATTGTCTGGAGGGAAAGTGGATCAGAAAATCATCTGCAGAGATCAGGGAACTCAAACTCAAATACCTGCAAAAAAAAAAAAAACAGGCCAAGAGTGCAGTTTGAGACAATAGAGAATGGTAAAGACTGTGGCAAACTGGAGGGTGCCCATTCCATCATAGGGAGGCCTCTTCAGCTCTAGTCTCTGGTTGCCATGCAGAAAGCTGGACCCCAGCATGACTGTGTCTTAGGATTTTTCCAAGACATTTTCAAATGATGGATTTTTGTAAGAAATTTTCATACTTGTAAATTTTGGAAATCAATTATGATTTCAAAAAAAAGCACAGACCATGGTAAGTAAAACATGTTTTTGGCCCCCGAGTTTGTGTTCTTTATACAGGAGCTTGCCAAGAATAGAAGGCAGCAGAAGAACTGAGAGGATGGGCCAGGAGGAGGAGACATAAAATGCACAGATTGAAAAAGCCTTAGAGTGCAGTGGGGAGATAGAGGAGAGAAGGCTGCAGAGAGAGATTAGAAAGATCCCGTGACCTTCACCTAAATGCCATGTGAAGTGATGAATATCTTGGTGTTTCTCATGAGGACTACATGTTACTCACTCACTGTGTCCCAGGCATTCTTCTAAACATTTTATACATTCTACATATATGTATTAGTATCTCTTTTTATCATCAAAACAACATTAGGAGGCAGGTGCTCTCATTAGCCTCAATTTACAGATGAGGAAACTGAGGCACGCAGAGGTGAAGCAACTTAGCCAAGATCACCCAGCAGTAATGAGCCAGAATTTGAACCAAAGCTGTCTTGAGCCCATGGACTAAACCACCATGCTCCCAAAGAAAAACGCCCAATCCTTTTGAAACTGAGGGGTGTGTCATCTGTTAAGCATTACAGAAATATAGGGTGATGCTAGGATACCTGTAATTTACCTTAAAATAAGTTCTCCCGGGTGAGATTTTAAATAGATTGACTATTTAGAGACATGTCTCACATTGATTAGACAGGGCATAAGAATCCTGCAGATAATAATCTGTACACTTAGGGTTAGCACCATAGACTTGATTCAGAAGCCACCCCGGATCTAGCCATTGCCAAAGAGAATTCCTGGTTGCCTGGTGCCAGCTAGAAAGCTAACAGGACTCTGCCTCTGGAATCTTGGCATTCTGCAGAGTGGGGGCTGGGACACCCAATAGGATCCAGAACTGGGGCTCCCTCCACCTCACAGTACACAGGGTAGGAATTGCTTGGGGCCTCTTGCTCCTGTATTTTTGGCTAATGAAGTTCTGCGCAGATGGTAGAATGCTTTTCATTATATTCCAACATTCATTCATCGTATCATGATTCATTCATCATATCCTGATATAATAGTTTCATTATATCCTGGGTAGAAATAGTTAACCATTGGCCACATCAGACTTCTTCAGCGGTAAGCTATCTTTACCTATCAAAGGGGACCTAGGAGTTGTGCAGGGACCAGTTTGGCTCAGGTCAGGTCATAACAGATGTCCCTTTTAAGAGTAAACATTACTGCTTGGGACATTCCAGGATAAAGACCAAGTTTGAGACACCTAGTGATCCTAGTTCTGCCACGATTCTCCCAGAAAGATGTAGATGTCTGTGCCCTTTGCAGCCAGAAATACAGAGAGAGGGGAGCTAATGAGCTTGGAGTGTCCCTGAAATCAGGTCCCCGTCTCCCTCCCCTCAGCTGTTCCCACTGGAATGCTGAGCCAGACAGGAGCCTGGAGACCCCCGTGGGAAAGGATATGGATCCATCGCTTTCATCTGCCGACCTCCAGGATCTGTGCCCTGGAGGGGGTAAAGAGCAGTTAATCTCACTAGTTACCAGACTCATTGAGAGGGGAGGGAATTGGAGGCCAGGGCTGGGAAGAGGCCACCGTTTGGGACCAGAGAGGGTAGAGTGCTGATAAGATCCGGCCTCCAACCAGGAGCCAGCTGTAGCCAGATGACCTGAGTGCCCCCTGCAATGACAGCCTGAAGTGAGCAGAATTAGCCAGCTCACTCCTCATCCGCCTGATCTAATCTGTCCCTGTTCCACATTGCATCATTCCACACAGAAGAAAGACTGGAAAATGAGACCAGTAGCTGAAGATGAACCGTGTGTGTCCTGGGGCTCCAAAGTGTGTGGTTCCTGGGCCTCACAGACTAGACATATACAAGGCCTAGGACAGATACCTTCTTTTCATTTCTGCCCCCCACCCTACTTGGCACCTGGTAAAAGTCTGTTGAATTAAAGCAATAGAAACACACTCAGGAGAAGGGTGTAAAGACTTGGGTGTTCACCCCAGAGCCGCTCTACTGCATTAACAAGGCGACTTTTGCTAAAGTGATCCAGGAAAATCTACTCTGAGCTATCGGGCAAACCAATAGCTAAGGCAAGTCTGTTGGTCAGGGTGCCCAGAGCTGGCCTGCCCCGGAGAGGCCTGAACAGGTTTCCTGGGGAACTGCCCTCTCTCTCCTGGGTGATTTCTTCAGAGCATTGTGATGAGACCGAGATGAATGACACCTGGCAAAAGAGCACTCCAGACCTGCTAGTGCCCTTTGAGGACAGCCCAGACTTCTGGGAGACCTCTGGAGTCAGTGGTTCAATATCCCTCACCCACCCCACCCCCAGGTTTGTGCCTGGTCTAAAAAGCAGAGCCTGACTTGGCCTGTGCCCAGGGACATGCTGGCTGTGTGTGCTTTGTGAATGCAAGTTTTCTGTGTGCCACGAGGCCACTTGGATGTGAATTCTGTAGGTGCTTGTGAGCAGGCTGAACTTGTGTGTGCGTGGGGATATGAGTGTGCATTGGGTGCACACATTCATGCAGGTAGAACGTGTGCTTGCTTGTGCATAGCAGGGTATGATATGCATTGGGTGCACGCATTCATGCAGGTAGAACGTGTGCTTGCTTGTGAATAATGACGTATGATGTGCATTGGGTGCATGCATTCATGCACGTAGAACAGTGTGCTTGCTTGTGCATAGTGGGCTATCATGTGCACTGGGTTCATGCATTAACGTGTATAGAAGAGTGTACATGTTTGTGTATTGTAGGCACGAGTGTGCCATGAATGCACACATTCACCCAAGGAATGCACATTGGGCGTGTAGAAGAGTGTGCTTGCTTGTACGTAGTGGGATCGGAGATCTGAATACACATCCCGCTTGGAGTACAGGAAGGGGTGCTTCATTGGATCTCTCTAAGAGTTTGAGATGAGGGGGGAAAAGCTGAACCCCTCTGCTGGGACCTCACCCAGACGCTACCCAAAGCTGTGGGCTGGGGACACCAGAGTGGAAGTAGTACCTTTCTGTGCCCTTCCGGACTTCTCAC